CCATTAACTAATATTTTTAATTTATCTCTTCAAACAGGTGTAGTGTCTGATATGTGGAAGATGGCTAATGTAATTCTTATTTTTAAAACAGGGGACAAGTCGTTACCGTTAAATTACCGCCCAATAAGCCTGACCTCAATTGTAGGCAAATTACTAGTCAATTATAGCTGAGATTGCAAGAAGCCATCTCGATAAGCATAGCTTGATTAATGATACTCAGCATGGATTCACAAGAGGCCGTTCTTGTCTAACTAATTTATTAACTTTCTTCAGTAAAGCTTTTGAGGCTGTTGATCACGATAAAGAATTTGGTATTATTTACTTAGATTTTAGTAAGGCTTTTGATAGAGTTCCACACCAAAGACTGTTAAAGAAAGTGGCAGCTCATGGCATTGGGGGAAAAGTGCTCTCATGGATCGAGTCATGGCTCACAGACAGGAAGCAGAGAGTGTCCATAAATGGGGTTAAATCCGAGTGGGGATCTGTATCAAATGGCGTTCCAAAGGGATCAGTCTTGGGCCCGTTGTTGTTTATAATATATATCAATGACCTTGATGAGGGTATTACTAGTAATATGAGCAAATTCGCCGATGACACAAAGATAGGTAGGATAATTGATTCAAACGTAGATGTTAGGGAAGTTCAGGAGGATTTAGACAAACTCTCTTCTTAGTCAGAAAAGTGGCAGATGCAGTTCAATGTTGATAAATGCAAGGTTCTGAAGCTCGGGAGTGAACATAACCCTAACACTTATAAGTTAAAAAATGTGGAACTTAGCCATACAGATTGCGAAAAGGACTTGGGGGTTATGGTAAGCAGCAACCTTAAACCAAGACAGCAATGCCTAAGTGTACGTAATAAGGCAAATAGATTATTGGGATTTATATCAAGAAGTGTATGCAACAGAAGTCCAGAGGTCATACTGCAGCTTTATACATCATTAGTAAGGCCTCACCTAGATTATGCAGCTCAGTTCTGGTCTCCATATTACAGAATGTATATAAATTCGTTAGAAAATATTCAGCGTAGAATGACTAAATTAATACATAGCATTAGAAATCTTCCTTATGAAGAAAGATTGAAGACTCTTAAGTTACATTCACTTGTTAGACGAAGAATGAGGGGAGACCTGATCGAAGTGTATAAGTGGAAGATAGGTATTAATAAAGGGGATATTAATAAGGTCTTGAGGATGTCTCTCCAATAGAGAACCCGCAGTAAAGGATTTAAATTAGATAAGTTTAGATTTAGAAAGGACAAAAAAAAGTATTGGTTTGGAAATAGGGTAGTTGATGAGTGGAACAGTCTACCTAGTTGGGTTACTGAGGCTGGGACTTTAGGTAGCTTCAAATTTAGGTTGGATAAATATATGAGTGGGAGGGGTTGGATTTGATTGGGACTTGCAAATGAGTGGATAGAGCCATCAGAGCTTATTTCTTAGAAGGCATTGAAAATTTGGTTGAGCAAATGTTTTGTTAGTGGGATGGATTGTAAAGGACCTGCCTAGTATGGGCCAACAGGCATCCTGCAGTGATCCTCCTTTATTATGTTCCTATGTTCAGAGTGTGCAGCAGGATCTTGTGTGTTACATGAGGATGTCAGACAAGGTACAGCAGGAGAGTGCAGCAGGACCTTGAGGGTTACATGAGGATGTCAGAGAAGGTACAGCCAGAGTGTGCTCAGGGAGGCAGTTGAATAGTCTTGGGCCCCTGACACTTATTATGTTGTCTTTCAGTCTACTCGTGACACCATTGCTTTTCACTGAGGGAATGTTGCATCTCCTGTCGAGTTTTTTGCTTTCGTAGGGAATGATTTTCGCGTGCAAGTTTGGTATCATATCCTCTAGGACTTTCCAAGTGTATACTGTCATACATATCAAAGGACTTCAACAGTTCCCAGTAATTTAGGTGCTTTATCCTACTTAAGTGTGTTGTGACAGTTCTCTGTATATTCTCCAGGTCAGCAATTTTGCCTGCTTTCAAGGGAGCAGTTTATGTACAGCAGTATTCCAGCCTAGAGAGAACAAGCGATTTGGCGTCCCTAGTTCTGAAGGTTCTCATTACCCATCCTTTCATTTTTCTTGCAGATGGGGTAGATATATTGTTGTGGTCTCTGAAGGTGAGATCCTCTGACATTATCACTCTCAGGTCCTTCACATTAGTTTTTCACTCTATTGTGTGGTTAGATTTTTGTTTTTTACCCAGATATAGTTTTAATTTCCTCAAGTTTTCGATATCTGAATAGTTGAAATTTCTCTTCATTGAACTTTATATTGTTTTGTGCGTCTCATTTAAAGATCTGGTTGATGTCCGCCTGGAGTCTTGCGGTGTCTTCGATGAAGGTCACTGTCATGGCAATTCAGGTGTCATCCGCAAAAAAACGGCGCACATTTATTTTGTTTTGGAATATGTTAAGTATATTGCTTAGAAAAACAGAAAGTATAACTGCAGCATAATAAAGATATATGAAGGTAAGGTGACGTGTGTAACTGGAGCTTATATTGAAAAACATAAGTAAACAATTCTTAAAATAAAAGAAAGAGTTGGTTGTTGTTTTATGGAGCTGGAAAAGGCAAGTGACAGAATATGATGTGGTTTATTTACTAACATTAATTCCTTTACAAAACATATCTTAACTTGTTGCAAATTATAACGAGTATTTATGAGGAAAGTGAGACACTGGTTTTGATTCTGTTGTTTCATGTGTATACAAAAGGAATTATAAGAAAAGTTAATGCTTGAGTGCTGGAGACATAGCTTATTGTAAAATATTGAAAATCTTATATTAGATTACGTTATTTGTTATAGCTCACACCGGGTTTTTTAGAGATTAGGAAAATTTTGAATGTGAATCCAGATCAAAGTAGTGTTATGTAAAGAAATACAACCAGGGTTAATGATGGGATGGAAAGTCAGAAAACGAATTAAATAAATATTGAGTATTTACATACTGGGTGTATGTATGATTACGTATATCATAGAAATGCGGGAGAGAGACTTGCTAGAGTTTCAGTGGGTGTTTAGACAAAAATTTTTTTAAATTATAAGACATGTATGACTAGAGGTGAGACTGGAAGAAATGAGTATGGAGGATGTATATGTATTCAGAAGGAAGCTGCAGGAAGCACTGACAAGAAACCTGTGAAGTAAGAAGTTGTATGTATAGCATTAATATTTAGTAGGTTACGGTATTTGAATACTATTATTACAATCTAAATTACTATTATTACAATCTAAATTACTATTATTACAATCTAAATTAAGCGTCACATAGCGTTGCAGGGTAGGATGTGCTAGGTCTGAGACTACCTGCGATCTGAATAAGCACGTAGTGTATAAAATAAACTTAGATAGCTTTGTACTTTTATAAGAGCTTGAGGTGGACATGGAGGTATAACCCCAAACACAAATTCAATTGGTGAGGTATGAGCAAAAGATGGAAAACCAGTGACAGTAACAGACAGGGAAATATAAAATTGGAAAGCCACTTGTTGCTTATCCATAGTGTAGTGTCTTCAGAAAAAGGACACAATAATTATTAAATATAAATATTCTATTTCATATAATAAATAGCTAAAACGAAAATTTATTGCTTTGGAGAACTTGTTGATGGTCCCCAGTTAAGGTTGTTTTATGGTCTCCTTGTGCCTTGTCTGACGCTGTGTTGTTCACGTCTGTTCTGAAGATCATTGCAGTTTCGTAAATGGATCGTCCTACTGTTCAAGCAAGCTGTTATGTTGTCTCTATTGTTCAAAGTTAGCTTATCTAGGGACTTGTTTTGGTCAATCTTTTTTTAAAGTCGAGTCTAACCAAGCACATACCGAGCATACACACACACACACACACACACACACCACACACCACATACACACACACACACACACACACACACACACACACACACACACACACTCACACACACACACACAACACACACACACACACACACCAATTATACATATTACTCTTGTACATATGAGTACATCTCATCAATGCAACGTACCAGAAGGTACATATTCTTAAGATTATTATATTGTACGGTATCTTATTCAAAAGTGCCCATAGTACCATATGTATTTTATTTACAGAATAATTTTAAAAATAATACAAAAGTATTATACTTTAGAATTGTGTAAGAGCCTTGATGTCCGAGGAGGATCAATAAGTCGGATGTCAGAGGAGGATCAATAAGTCGGATGTCAGAGGAGGATCAATAAGTCGGATGTCAAAGGATCAATAAGTTGACTTAGTATTCTCTGGAGATATCTTCGGATAATAAACGTTGCATTATTCTTCATAGATTAAAAATTATTTTTCAGAGATTTAGAAAACCCCAGATAAAAGTTATGTACCACTAGAAGTAATAAAGTGATGGAAAGTAAGAACACATACAATGTATATACAGTGTTTAAGTCTGGGTGTGTGAAGCACTATGTAAATTATAAGAATGGTGTTTAAACTAATGGTTTTAAAAGTGAATATAGATAATTGTTAATTTCCTGAGGATAATTAAAAGTATAAGACATAAGACTAGAGGTCAGACTGGAAGAAAGGAGATGGTGGATGGAAATGTATTCAGAAGAAAGTTGTAGGAAACACTGATGGAAAGCTGTGGAGTAAGAAGTTGTATATTTAGCATTAATATTTAATAGGTTTCGGGATTCGAATAATATTACAATCAAAACTAAGCGCTAAACCCACAAGGGTCATACAGGGTTGCAGGGTAGGATATGCTAAAAATGTAATATGCTAGGTCTGAGACTAGCACATGTTTTTTTGTATTTTTCTAACAGCTTGAGGTGGACATGTAGGTATAACCTCAAACACAGATTCAATTGTTGAGGTATGAGTAATAGAGACGAGGTACGTAGCTCCGGTATGCTAGCAACAGCTTGATCACCTACCAGGTTACCAGCAGACAATGGCGCACGCCAGGAAACAGTCCTTTGATATTTGACAAGCAAATTATATATACCATGTTGGATACAGACTTCTACTTACCTATAACAACATCCTCATTAACTGTTCTGGAGATTACCGGCGCAGGTGGGAAAAGCCTCATTGACTCCTTGATGCACATTTCCGTGTACTTCATCTGACGAACGTCTTCCGTGGTGACGGGACTGTCAGGGTTGATCAATATTCCATCCAACTCTTCGTGTACACGAGCCTAATTGGAAAAATTTTAACGTAATGATCGTAGCAAATTTGGTTTAAGTATAAAGTCTACCGGCTACATGGGATGCGTTTGAGATTCACTTCACCGATATGCCAGCATTTCAAATACGTTAATAGAAATAAGGACACTACCACTGTATATACAAACATTGACTAAAAATTTAAGACCAGGTATAGAAGAACTTCATATTTGGTCTTAAGTCAGAGAGTTCCCTCAGTACAAGTGTCTTTGAGATCAGAATACACAAACGTATTTTATTTGGTTTTTAAATCGTTCACATGTGAGGCGTCAGAAGTGTTGAATGAACGGGACTTAAGAGTGAACAGCTGGTTGAAAGAGAGTACCTAGGAAGCTGGTTTTCAGGTGTTGGTATAATTTTTTTTTTCACTTGAGGAACGTTGGAAAAGCTGAGGGAATTTTCCGGACTTCAGCCTTTCACCTTTCCCACTCTTGCGCCCAGACTGTCTATAACTAAGTTATTAGGTATATAATGTCGTGCCTAATAAGCCGAACTTGACAAACTGGTCAAACTTACCAAACTGGTCAAACTGGCCGAACTTGCCAAACTGGCCGAATTTGCCAAACTGGCCGAACTTGCCAACCAACTTGCCAATGGCCGAACTGGCCGAACTTGCACCAAACTGGCCGAATTGCCAACTGGCCGAACTTGCCAAACTGGCCGAACTTGACAAACTGGCCGAACTTGACAAACTGGCCGAACTTGCCAAACTGGCCGAACTTGCCAAACTGGCCGAACTTGCCAAACTGGCCGAACTTGCCAAACTGGCCGAACTTGCCAAACTGGCCGAACTTGCCAAACTGGCCGAACTTGCCAAACTGGCCGAACTTGACAAACTGGCCGAACTTGACAAACTGGCCGAACTTGCCAAACTGGCCGAACTTGCCAAACTGGCCGAACTTGCCAAACTGGCCGAACTCTCTTAAAAGTTAACAACAGTAAATATTTTTGGTTAAATTATGCTTTAACTCACAGAGATCAGTTGATATATATTAAAAATACAAAATAAATTACATATGAATATATTCTGCATATTCAGATATATTTTCAATGATTCTAAACATAGAACTTATATAATATAATAATATAAATATATATATAATATATATATATATGAATTATATAACTAATTGATAAATGATATATATATATATACTCGTATTTTTATAATAACTTATAATATGAATTATATTATATTATATATATAATAAATAACTTAGCATATATTCATATATATATAATATATAATAAATAGATAATTAATATACATAGCATATTAATATATATATATATATATATTTAATATATATATATATTAGAATATAAATGAATTGAAATATAAAACTCCCAAATTAAATAAAAAAAGGGGAAAAATTTAAAAAATCATTTTTTAAATAATTGAAATAAATTTTAAATCCAATTAACTAACAAAATTCAAATAATTAAAAATTTAAAAATTTAAATAAAAAAAAATTAAAATTTAACTTGAAAAATATTAAATTTAAAACTACATAAATTACAAATGGGAAAAATTAAAATAAAAAATTTAAATGCCATTTTAAAATTATAAATTGAAAAAATTAAAATCAATTAAATAAAATTAAAATACAATTGAAAAAATTTAATTACAACTGGCAACTTAAATCAATTAAAACTCCCAAATTGCAAACTTAAAAACTTAACTGGAATTCCAAATGGCCCCCCAAAATTAAAAGCCCAAAATTACAAACTCAATTGCAAACTCCAATTCCCCCATTAAATGCGAAACTTACAAGGGAATTTCCCCCAAAACTCCCAATTTGGGGGAACTTCCCAAATTTTTTCTGTATCAAAAAAAAAAAAAAAAAAAAAAAAAAAAACTTTTGATAAAGAATTCCCCCCAAAATGCTGATGGATGTCTATAAGATTCCTTGTAAAATTTGCGATAAAGTTTATTATGGTAAAATTTTGGTAAAAATCTCGAACTAAGATTAAAACAACATAAATATAGCATTGGAACTGGACAAGATTCCAATGCTCTATTTATTCAGTAAGAGATTTTAACAATCCAATTGATTTTCAAAAGTTGAGAAAGTAGTATCAAGCAAGCCCATGGTCGACAGAAATATAATTGAATCTTGTTTCAAAAAAAAGCAGTTTTGACAATAATATGAATATTTCCTTTGGTTTATATAAATTAGATCCATTTATAATTAATAGAATTTGGGAAGAAATTTAATAATACACAGGACAAATATAAATTTTTAATTTTCTTGGGTAGAATAGTTTGTTGGTGAGTTGTGCAAAGGCCCTGTCCATTTGGGTCGGCGCGTGTCGGGTGTTTAACCGTTGTGAGATCGGATAGTGAGGTGCTGGCCGCCCCCTTATATAGCTTCCTTGGATGCTTTACTTTCATAGTTCCTTGATAATGTGAGTATCACGAAAGCGCTTGGAATTTCACTATGCTTTCAGAGTGGTTGTTTTGCAAAATATATTTTATATATATATAATATATATAATATATATATATATATTTATAATATATATATTTTATATATATATATATATAAAATATATATAAAATCCCTTTTTCCTCTATAACCTACTAAAAAAAGAAAAAGAAAATTGTAAAAAGTGGGAAGTCTAAATGTGCGTGGATGTTGTGCGAATGATAAGAAAGAGATGAATTGTGGAGTATGATGAGAAAATTGGATGTCCTGCTAGTGAAACAAAGCTGAAGGGGGTGGGGAAAATTTCAGGGAGAGGAATAAATGAATTGGGTCGGGGGTTTCGAACAGAGTTGAGTAAACAAGGGAAGCACAATGTTGAAGGAAATTTAAAGCGGAAAAAGGGAGTAAAAATTGTTTTAATTCAAGTTAATATGGAAGTAAAATAAAGGATTGAAAAGGGGGTAATAGAAAACGTTATGCACCTGTAAAAGGGGAGAATTGGGAGAGAGAGAGAGAGAAGAGAGAGAGATAGAGAAGAGAAAAGAAGAGGAGAGAATTTGGGAAAGGGTTGAGTGAATGCTGGGAGTTTGATCAAGTTGAGAGTATTGTGGTTGGGGAAATTTCAATGCTAAATGGGTAAAAAATGTTGTGGAGGGAGAATAGGTAAATTGGGTCCAGGTGGAAATGTTAATTGCCCTTGATTGACTTGTTGAAGAATTTGGTAAAAAGTAATACATATTTATGAAAAAGAGGATAAATAAATAACAAGATTGAACGCCAAATGAAAATTGGTGATAAATTGATGGGTAGGCTTCAGAATGTGTTAAAAAGGGGCAACTGATATACGGATCTATAAGTTGTGCTACAGTTAGCTAAGAGTGAGAAAAATGAAAATGGCAACATCAATGAGGAGGGAATGTATAAAATAGAGAAGGAACGGGGAATTGCAAACTATACGGAAAGTGGCCATGCCAATGCGAATGCGGGGGGGGAGGTTGAAAAGTTGGAATAGTTTAAAAATGCAATATTGAGAATGTGGGGCCGAATTGGGGATGAAGGTGGCGGAGAAAAAAATTTTTTGGTGGAATGATGAAGTCAATTGTTAAAAAGAGAAAAAGGTAGCTTAGAGAGTTTTCACAAAGCAGAATTGTTTAAAGAGGAGCAGAGTATATGTAATTAAAAATAAGAAGTGGTAGAGATAGTGCAAAGAAAAATGAATATGGAAGATTTTCAAGAATTGTAATGAAAATAAGTAAAAAAATTTGGAGTGAGGTAAACAGTTAAACTGGAACGAATTGTTTTCAGTTAAAACAGAGGAGTTAGTAAATGGAAGGGTTTGTGAGATGTGGGAATATTTAGGAACTTTAAATGTCAACGAAGAAAGGAGGCATAATTTCATGCTTGGCCAGGGAGGTAACCATCTTTTAAGAGTGAAAAAAGACAGGTGATTTGGGGGGAGGTCGTGAGGAAATTTGCCCAGAAGGGGGTAAAGCAGCTTGGAACTGACGGATCATGACAGAATGTTAAAGTAGGGGGGATATAATTGTTGGAAGGTGTTTTTTTTTTAAATGTTATGAAAAGAAGATCCAAAATTGCCAGGAGGCATGTTATATCCCCTTTAAAAAAAGGGACAAAAGAGATTGAAAAATTATATAGGAATATTTAATCTTGCTAGTTGAAATGTAGATAGGTTATTTTGGAATTATAAGTTGACCAAATGTTAGTATGCAGATGAGCAAGGAGTTTATAGAACGTTGGGATGTGGGGAATTTGAATGTGAAGAATTAAATAAAGGAGGGAATTTCATTGCATATAGATTTAGAAAAGGTATATAAGATGCATAGAGGAGCAATGTGGCAGATATTGCAAGTATATGGAAATGGTGGTAGTTATAAATGCTGTGAGGTTTTCAGATAGTGAGGCTCAGTTTAGGGTGTGTAGAAGAAGAGGAGAATACTTCCCGGTAAAGTAGGTCTTAGACAGGGATGTGTAATGTCACCATGGTTGTTTAATATATTTATAGATGGGGTTGTAAAAGAAGTAAATGCTAGGGTGTTCGGGAGAGGGGTGGGATTACATTATGGGGAATCAAATTCAAAATGGGAATTGCCACAGTTACTTTTTGCTGATGATACTTTGCTTATGGGAGATTCTAAAGAGAAATTGCAAAGGTTATTGGACTAGTTTGGGAGGGTGTGTAAAGGTAGAAAGTTGAAAGTGAACATAGAAAAGAGTAAAATGATGAGGGTATCAAATGATTTAGATAAAGAAAAACTTGATAACACATTGGAGAGAAGGCGTATGGAAGAAGTAAATGTTTTGAGATATTTTGGAGTTGACGTGTTAGCGGATGGTTTTATGAAGGATGAGATTAACCATGGAATTGATGAAGGAAAAAAAATTGAGTGGTGCGTTGACGTATATGTGGAGACAAAAAAAAAGTTTTCTATGGAGGCAAAGAAGGGAATGTATGAAAGTATAGCGGTACCAACACTCTTATATGGATGTGAAGCTTGGGTTGTGAATGCAGCAGCGAGGAGACG